AGCGAGCTGATGCTGCCATGCCTCTCTCGGAACTGCCCCACCCCCAGCCACGCCCCTAGCCCCGCCCCTAGCCCCGCCTTCCCGAAGGATGACCTCCTGTCGCCGAGCCCCAGCTCCAGGCACGGGGACGACCCTCGCAGCATGCTTCTGTCCACATCACAGTGAGAACCCGAAAGGGAGCGGTTCCTTCTCCGGGGAAGTCGGGGGCTACCAGGGACGCTAGCAGGGACGCTGGCTGGGACAGTGACGTCGGGCTGTCCCGTCAAAGCGGGGCTCCACTGTGAGCGTGGCCAGCCGCAGACGGACTCCACCCCCACGTCAAGTCCACCTGATGAGCGGCGGGGGAGCACTGAAAGGGCAGGGCTGTCTGCTGACCGGTAGAGGCGGGGCAGCGAGAGGCTGTGAGATCCCAGGCTCGATAAGGACCCCGCCGAGTGTTTCCTCTGCCGGAAGGCAGAATCCAGGCCCCCCCTACGGGCCAGCCGCGGGCTGGAGGGGACGCTGGCTGTCCCGCTGGATCCCCCAGGCCTCAGGTAGCGAGATCGGCCTTCGGACGCCGAGCCGTTCCAGGTGGTGAGCAGGCGCCTCCCATCCGAGGTGCTCGGTGGGCCCGTGCTGTCCTGGGACAGGTTACGAAGGCCGGAGATCAGGCTCGTGGGGGTGGGACTCAGGGAGCGCTCCCTGTCCCCATCCCGGGGCGAGGGAGGGGTGGAGAGGCTGGTCACATGGCCAGATGCCTTCAGAGTTCCAAATGGCCGCCAGTTCAGGTCCTGGGAGCGATGACTGGCACTGATGGGCGGAGACAGTGCCAGGGTGAGGTACTCCCCATTGGTCCGTAAGCTTGCTTCTAGGGCCAGCTTCTTGCGCTGTAATGAGTCCATCAGCTCCTGTAGCTCCGCCCCAGACCGCATCCCCCGTGATGACATCACTCCGGAGCCCTGGCTGGTCAGACGTCAGACAATCTGGAAGCGAAGACAGCGTGAGGAAATGTTTAAGGATGCAACTGCAGCAGAGGCTGGAGTGGGGGTGCAGCAGGGGCGGCAAACACTCAGCTGGCTAGACATTAAATGCTGCAGACGAAGCCTCTCGATGCGCCCAAAACAAACATGGCCGTTACTTCAGGAATGTCTCTTCTAAAAATGGAGATGAGAAAGCTCTCGTGTTATTCTGGAGCTGGGACCCCCCCCCCCGATTCCTTGCTCTGCTGCCCACCACCACAAAGGCTGCAGTAAACGCATGTGAACACATCACCCACAGCAGACCTCACTGCACACCTTCTCAACACTGCGAGGCTGCATTTTACTGAGGGGTTGGGTGACTCCCCCTCCCCCCTATCCCCTCCCGAGCACAGGGGTGGGGGCTGAGGCCCCAGTCTGTGGTGATGATTATGCGCCCATGTGACCACCATTCCATCGGCATTACAGACTTCCTCTCCAGTCCTGCAATTACTATCAGCTGTGGCCTAGAACACACACTCACATCTGAATTACTGCCTCGTCGGCGATTTCTCTTGTCTTAACGAAGTTCTGTTCATGAGCCCAAAAAAAACAACTGGGAAACTGGAAACATTTTGCTCCATTGCAGGATTATTTTAAGTAGCTGAAGTTGAAACAAAAAAATGTGTGTGTGATGGGCAGGCCCCCACCATATCTGCTTCTCAGGAGGTGTCTTTGTTAGGTCTCCCCCCCACCACACACACACACACACACGCTAAACATCTGCATTAGCTTCTTACCTTCCCAGTACTGTGGGACAGTTCTTGGGCGGTCGTGTCTGAGATGAAGGCAGCTGAAATACGCAGGACTCACCCTGGCAGAGAGCGCCTCCTGCTGGGGTGAAAGAATACCACATGCTATGTGCAGTCACAACTCCGGGGGACAAAAGAGAACAGAGCTTTTTTTTCCTCCGCATGATTCCCCCCCCCCAATGACGAGCAGTGGAAATGATATGCAGAAAGTTGAACAGCTTGGCTTGGTAAACACAGCAGTAAAGTGCCGCTAAAGAGGCACGTCCCGGCCCAAACCCCAGAGGCCCGGGTGCCTGCGATTCGGGCCCCAGCCTTGCTGTGCATAGTGCAGAGAGATGAGAAAAACATCCAGATGGCTGAATGGAAAAATGCATTGTGGACAGAGTTCATTACCCCAGGCAACTCGAAAGTGCTCCTGGCACAGGGGAAACCCAGACAGGCTCCAGCGAGGCTCCAGCAAGAGGCCTCTGAGTCGGCATAAGCAGCACTGGGGGCTATCACTCAAAGGGCGACGTCGCGTCATACCCCAGGGACAGAGCGCCCTCTAGGGACAGGCAGGGCTACATCG